TGATGATGAAGGCCAGCTTGGCGGCAATGACATGCCAGAACTGCATGTTGTGAGAGTACTCCTTCTCGTGGCCAGGGGGGAAGCGGAAATCGCGATACCTAAAACACAGAACACGAGGGCTTCAGGGAGAACCACCATCCAGTCAACACGACACAATGAACATTAACCATCATCCGCCACAAAAAGAGCAATAAAATAAATTCCTGGCAGAACATGGGACAACATTAAGACAGTGGATCTCTTTAGTCTTGAACAGAGGAGACCGTGCAGTGAACTGATTCAATGGAAGGAAGGAAAATATAACCTGGCATCATACAAACAGGAAACAGAAGGCAGTGAAAGATGGATTTTATCCCGGAGCCCCGACCTGCAGGTGGTGTCAACGGTCTCGTTGAACCAGATGGGGTTCTCCCCGTTCTCAGGCCGGTTCTGGTCGGAGAACTGGGAGATGTTGAAGATGGACAGGCTGTTGTTGATGTAGCCCTCCATGGAGTAGTTGCTGCTATATTGGTAGTAGTAGACCAGGCGTGGGATCATGTCTGAGGTGAAGGACACGATGAAGGCCTGGGAGGGAGGAAGAGGAGGGAGGGAAGAAAGCCAGCAGGGACGCTCATTAGCTGTGTTGTGCAACTGTTTTTGATGGGTTAAAAATAAAGGCAAGGTTTTAGTCTCAGAGACGGCCCCGTTTAGGGGGGGCCTTTCCTTCCTTCCGGCCTTTCCTTTTTGGACTGCTTTATCCAATACGAGGCTGCAGGGGGCGTTGGAGCTTGTCTGAGCACACACTTCTCTTTTAAACACGTGCCAGCAGCTATATCACCCTGCAAGCTCACAAGTGTCAGCCCACTGCCGTCCTATCCAGGTGGGAGCTGCACATTGGTGGTGATAGTGGGATTCCCCATTACCAGGAAAGCGCTATATACAGTATAGCGTATATATACTGTATATAGCATAAGGATTATTATTATTATTAAATGCTACTGCATTACAGATTCAGTCTCCTGCTGCTCCCTCACAAGCAGAATGCAGGGGAAATGGAAAGAGAAGTTTGCAGGTGGCTGTGGGTTTTAGGTACTTCAGGGCTATCGCAGGACCTCAAGAGAGCTTCCTGACGTCATGGAGTCACAGCTGATTGTTCTACACCCCCTTCCCTGCACTCACGTTGGTGACCACGGACACGATGGCGATGCCGTTGAGGATCTCCTGCCACGCCCCGATGCTGTGGGCCTTGGCCGCCACCGGCCGGCGGAACTGCGTGGTGAACTTCCAGGCGTCCACTCGGATCTCGATGATGTTGTTGACGAGGGCCAGGAGGGGGGCCAGGGGGAAGGAGGCCACGAAGAGGGTGATGAAGCCGAACTGGATGACTGCATTGGGGGAGGATGAGAGGAGCAGGACTGAAGATGTTAGCTGGACCATCTCATGAAACATCTCACAGGTCCTTCACAGAGCCAAAATAGGGGTTTGTTTTTATAACACGAACACACAAAAGACATGAGAGCAAACTCACACAAGCACACAAAGAGAAGCACAGGCGCACTCACACAAATGCACCTGCACACACAAGCACATGGTTACATACACACAGAAGAACATGAGCACACAAACATACACAGTAGCACATGAGTGCAAACACACAAGCACGAGTACATACACAGCAGCACATGAGTGCAAACACACAAGCACGAGTACATACACAGCAGCACATGAGT